TTCATACGCAGGACACACACACAAATATGCATAGATAGGTGACGTATACATTTGGCTATAATACACACTCTTATATATGCAAAATATGCACTCCTATTCATCTCTTACAGATATACATATATAAAGAGATCAATGGAAACAAAAACCAATGCATATGCATACACACACACACACACACACACACACACACATATATATATATATATATATATATATATATATACAAATAAACATATAATCCGTCGGCGATATGCTTATAGACACATATGTCGAAATTGGAGGAATTCATCCTATTTAAACAATTAATGCATCTATCAACTAGCCCAGTGTTTCCCGGGTCTCGCTGGACTAGTGGCATATGTCTTGGTATCGTTCCACATGGAAACACAAAAGCAAACTGTTTGCATTATTTACAGTGGGTCTAATGTGAAGACGATGAGACAAAGTGCGAAATTTTTTTTTTTTATTATTAAAGATACGTTTCGCCGGAGAAGCGTATGCTCTCTTTGGCTTCTTCAGTTTAAAATGAAAGAAAGACAAAACTACGTGTGAGGAAAATGCCCTGTGATCTCTTAGGTAAAGTGGGAATCATAAATCAAACTAATTACCATAACTTATCACATCCCAATATCTATACCATTTCAAGTTCAATTTGGGATTAATCAAAGATATTTTGAGACTAAGCAAGTTCATAATGAAATAGTCAAGTTCCAAATGGAATAGTCAAATTCAAAATAGGATGTAGCAAATTCAAAATGAAATAGTCAAATTCGAAATGGAATAAGCAAATTTGATTCGGGACTTAGCAAGTTCAAAATGGATTAGGCAAATTCAATTTGGGACTGACAATTATTTTCCGAAAAAGACATTAAAATTAAATATTTTCATAATAAAGTAATAATGTTCAACTAAACTTTACTATTGAAATATTTTATCTTCTAGGAGCAATCAATAAATCAAGATAATTCATGAAAGGTGTATGTTTTTTGGATGCAACTTTCAGCGCTTAAAATCCCTCACTGTACCTATCTTTTTTCAAACTCTGTCTTTTATTAGGCATTCAGTATTTCTTTGTTGCTTTTTATTTGGACTTTCGAGATTTGACCTGTTGTCCTCCAAATCATTTCATTTTGAATAACTCTCTCTTATTCTCTCTTTTTTAACACTATGTACAGTCTATCCATCACTTTCTTTCTTCAGCTTTTCTCCCTGATTGTCGTACTAATTAAAGTGCCAGAAACTCTAATTTTATCCGTTCAACAATAGCCTCTTGTCAGGAATTGATAGTAAAATCTGCGCAACACTGCGCTCCGATTTTAATTATTTGATTTACTGTAAGTTTAATTTTTAATCAATGATATTTGTTTATTGAAACGCACATATAAGTTCGAAACATTTTTTCACATTGAATCTGCTTAGTCCAAATTCAAACTGACTTATTTCATTTTGAATTTGCTTCGTCCCATTCTGATCTTGGCTATTTCATTTTCAATTTGCTACGTTTTTTTTTTTTTTGTGATATATATATATATATATATATATATATATATATATATATATATATATATATATACTGAAGAAATAAATGTGTTTACACACACACGCATATATATATATATATATATATATATATATATATATATATATATATATATATATATATATATATATATATAATACCTAAGGAGACAGAAATTTTAGTATCTGGAGTTTTTCACACTGTCCGAGTATAGGTAAAAAATAAATAATATATATTACTTTAAACATTGTTTTTGGTGGATACCCGTATTTGAGTAGACGCCCTGTTTATTTTAAATAATATTTAATATCGACCTGAACATGCGCCCTCTCCACTTTGCAGGAAAAACCACTATTTAATCCGACATGCTTTCACCGCTCGCCTACGAAAAGCTTCATAATTAAACGGTTCTATCTCCCACAAAGAGGGTCGCAGGTTCGAATCCTGTCGAAGGGCGTATTTTCTTTAATAAGTTTCTTCGTGTGTCCAGGCCGGTAGGCGAAATAAATGCAGCATCTACTCATATACGTATAGCCACTAAAATTTACGCTTAAAGTAATGAAATCAATGAATTCTTTATATATATATATATATATATATATATATATATATATATATAAATATAGACAATATATATAAAAAGATAGATACATTTATATATACAGAAATCAATGTGCACTGATATATACATATTTAATTATTAACATACACAAAACTATTGGATTAAATATTGATTAATATGGTTAAACGCGGTTATATGGATATAATGTTGGATATATAGATATTTTGTGTATATATTATATATAGATAGATATAAGTGCATAGATACATTTTTATATAGATAGATAGGTAAATATGATAATTGATTATATAGATATATGAATATATATGTATAGATATAGATATACTGTTGGTTATATAATATTGTGCTCTAAGTCGACCGTAAATGAACTGCAAATATTGCTCCTCCGTCTGTTTGAAACATTAGTTTCGGTGCAAAGTGCAATGTATAAAAAAATAAATGCATGCAAACTTTTATGCAAAGATACAAATATATGAAGATGGATTCACAGAAAGTTTGTCTTGGATTTTCTGTTTTTTTTTTGTTTTTTTTTACTGTGTCAGAAATCGTTTCTGTTTGATGACAACACATCTGAACATATAGAATGGTGTTACATAATCAAAACTGAAGTTGTTAAACCAAATAAAAAAAAAATCACTTGAAGAACTTATCTAACAGCAACAACAACGAAAACAGATAACAGGTGGAATTACAAAGAGAAAATCAATATAATCAAGATTTTGGTAAAGCTTTTCCAGGTTCGTTTCCAGTTTCCAGCTTCTTCCTGTCAAACGCCTGTGTAATTACAAAATAACTCATTAGCCAGATCGTCAATGTAGCACTTGGCAAATTTTATTCTGATTGTAAGACGAGCGAGACATACGTGAGGGTAGTTTTGTAGGCACACGTCTATCGGGCGTTTTCCTTTCGCATGATCTTCTGTCATTCTCTGTCTCAATACGACTTGAGATTTCACTGTCGCATTTTCCGTCAACTGATAAACGACTTACTACATATATAAATTTTTGTATTGTTTGATTTTGTTATCTCCGATTTGCAATTCACATTTTGGTCTCAACCTTTTGCTAACAACCATGCATTCTGTCTTCTTGCAATTGATGTTTAATTCTTTCTTCTCACTTTTCTTCTCTAGGAGACTTTGGTGCTTTCTTTCTGCGTCTGCTATCAACATTGTGTTATCTGCGTGTAGCTGATGTTAAGAACATGGCCGCCAATAAGGAACCCTTCCAGCGAAATGCAACAGTCAAACGCGCTATGATGTTTCTATTTTTTACAAGTAGAAACATTCGCCGTCAGTGAGGGAAATACTGACAATCGGCCAAGAAGAGGCATTGGATATGTGGCAATACCAATGCTCGAATTCCTGGCCATTTGCCTGAAAGCAATGAGGAAAAACTAGAAATAAGCTTCATAAGTATTTTGCCAATAATTATCCTGTTTGCAGGCCGAAGCAAATCCTTCGTATTAGATGCGAAACATATGTTGTTTTAAACGCAACGAATTCGGTGTGATAAATGGGCGAGGTTGAATTTAGTGCATCTCTTTACTGTATTAAATATTTTGTTCATATCTATCTTGAAATGACATCCATTTTTCTTCTAATATCTTTGAATAGCCACGAATTCTTCGTAAACATAGAGGAATGGTTTTCCGTTGCATTCTTTACGGTTTTAAATACATTTTCCTTTCAGAATATACGGCTCTCTAAATATTGCTTTTCTATTTTGATTATTGAATGAATTGCCAAGACTTTTTGTGAAATATCATGGATTGTTTTCCATTGCCTTTTCTACCGTTTTAAACGCTCCACTACTTCTTTTACTTTGTTATATGTTATTTAACATGACTTCTTGGAAAGATAAGTGATGCAGTTTCCTCTTGTCTTCTTCAGGATTTTAAATGCCATGTTCCTTCAGGATCTAGTGGACCACGGCTTTCCACTACTTCCTTTTCTTTATTATCAGTGATTGACATATCTTCTTAGGAAAGATAAGTAGTGTGGTTTCCTGTTACCTTCTCCACTATTTGCCCTGTCCCTTCAGAGTGTTGGTGATCACGACTCTCCACTATTTCCTTTTCTTTATTATCTGTGAATTGACATAGATTCTTAGGAAATATACTAGGGTGTTTTTCCTTACCTTCTTCATGACTTTAAATTCAGAGTTGTTCTACTCGTAGATTGGATACCATTCAAGGCAAGAGAGTTAAGTCTACTTTGCTATATTATTTCATAGCTAGTGTGTGTGCTTCGAGGTTAAATGTTTTCTTTACTTTCCCAAGGGTATTTATGCAAAAGTGAACGAGTTAGGATTTTCAAGACGTCTCCCAGATTTCAATTTTCGCAGCGATAACTGTCACGTGATAATGTTTTTCTTTGTTTTTTTATGAATTATCAACCTTTCACAGGGTATTGAAAGCCAGAAAATAGTTTTAGGTGTCAGAAGTTTTTGAGATAATAATAGTATAGTAATATATGTTTTACTAATTAACCCATCAGTGAGGAGAAAAGATGTGGATTGATAGCATCCCGAAGTGGATTTACACCTAGGTGAATATAACAAACCCATCTGGAATTAAGAACTTGGCTCTTCGATTAATATTTTCGAGCCATTATCCATTACACCACTTGCACGACCAAGCATACAGAACATGGTATACCCAAGCGGTCGCCCATTTAGCTACTGAGCAGATTCGACATTGCTTAACTTCGATAATCATACGGAAACCGGTATATCAACGTGATGTGGCCGTAAGTCATACCACCTACACATCCAAACTTACAGCACCTGGTATTCCCAAGCTGTCAACTTGGTACTGACCAGGTTCGACGTTGCTTAACTTCGGTTATCGTACGGAAACGTGATGTGGCCGTAAGTCATACCACCTGCACATCCAAACTTACAGCACCTGGTATTCTTAAGCTGTCACCCATCTAGGTACTGACCAGGTTCGACGTTGCTTAACTTCGGTGATCGTACGGAAACCTGTATATCTACGTGATGTGGCCGTAAGACATACCACCTGCACATTCAAACTTACGGCACCTGGTATTCTTAAGCTGTCACCCATCTAGGTACTGACCAGGTTCGACGTTGCTTAACTTCGTGATCGTACGAGAACTGGTGTTTCGACGCTATATGGACGTAAGCTTCATTGTTTTCGTTGATCCACAATGTATCAGTCAACAGAAATATTATTTTTATTTTTTTGACAAGCATGTATATTTTTTCCGTTTAGGCTCTTTGTTCATCTGATGCTAGTATTTTTTTTATAAATTATATTTATTCATTTGCGCCATTTTTGTATCCGTTATTGACCGGAATTTAAAAAGAAAACTTTTCTTTTTTATATACAATTATTATATTCCGTTATTTGTTTTTATCACCAACTTCGTATTGTTAATTTTTTTTATAATGCATTTTCATATCTTTTGAAATTTTCTATAATTGCGTTTTACTGTTTTTTCACGACCAAGTAATATTAACACTGCTCACTTTTATTCTTTCTATCCATTTACAAAACTTCTTCCTCAATTTCATTTCATTAAATCAATATTTCATTATCTTTAGAAAGCCGTATCAAAATGTTAACGTATATCTTGTCATCGGACAATTTCAATAAAACGCCATGTTGTCATGGTATTTTTCAACTCCGGACATTACTTCGTTTATTGCTCTTACTTTTCCTTTTCCGTTTAATTTTCTCTGTGGTTTTGAGTTTTTGAGAGATTCATTTATTTTATTTTCTTTATTTTGTATTTTCATTTGCTGTTGAATTCATTTTTGTATCTATTTTTCTTGGTCTTTTTACCTCTGATCATTTTCTTTAATTTCTTTCCTCTTATCTTTCCGTTTTTTTTCTCCTTGATTTATATATCACTATTTTTTTCATTTAAATTGTTTGATTTTTTTTAAATAATTTTGCTCTATTTAATTTAAAATACTCTAATTTGTCTCATTTGAAATAGTTACGATAGAATTCTATTTTTTTTTCTGTTTTTTTTTGTTTTTGTTCCTTGGTCTTATTTATGAAAGAAACAAACGCAGATTTATGAAAATAGGATGAGCAGTTTTTTTTTTTTCAACCTGCAGGGTAAACCTCGGTATTGCCATCGGAAATGAATTCATGGACGTCAGAACAAAAGAACAAAAATATACGTACATTCACAGCAAATAAAGAAGAAAAAAAAAGAAGAGAAATGAATGCGAGGAATAGATTATTTGTATCCTCTCCTTATTAAATTGTTAATTAGTTTTTGTTTGTCTCCTATAACTGATAACTCACCTCATTCCTCCGTTCTATTTTTACCCCACCCCCCTTTTTTTTGCTCTTTATCTCAGTTCTCATCCGACCTTTGAATGTCATTTTGTTCAGACTGTCTTTAGTCGCCGAACAGTTCGCAGGGGAGCTGGATTGTCACAGAACAATAGAGTTGTAAAGAGATGTACTCGGTTGACATCACTTAATAGCATAGTCACTGAAATGTTTTGAATATGTCTTGCACATTAGACCGATTCCGACAGATGTCGATATACACATGGCAGTGGCACACACACACACATGCACGCGCACACACACACACACACACACACACACACACACACACACACACACACACACACACACAGAAACCTTAAAAAAAATTGGATTTTAATAATTGATTTATTTTTACGGCTTGTGAACTGTTTGCATAGTTATTTAAGGCCAGCAAAACATGCTTACGATTTACTGATACAATTATATTATTTAACCCATAGCTGGAGAGAAGAGGTGGATTTTTATACCTTTTTCATGGGTATTTGCAAGTAAGTAAATAAAATGACTGGAATTCGAATTCGGCTCTCCGATTTCATCATCCGCACATCCAACATTGCAACACCTGACCGAGCTCGATGTTGCTTAACTTCGGTGATCGCACGAGAACTGCTGTTTCAACGTCATACGGCCGTAAGCCGAGGAGAGATTAGAAAAAGATATTTTTAATAATAACCACAAAATGGCCATGTAGATATTTTCGGCGTGAATGTGTCATACAATTAATATTTTAACAAAAACAAGTCAGAGACTTAAAGTCATATCACGTTTAAACACCGATCACTGATGTTAAGCAACGTCGAGGCTGGTCAGTACCTATATGAATGGCTGCTTGTAAATTCCAGGTGCAAAAATTTTGGATGTTTCAAACGTGTAAATGATAATGGTTCGGAATAGTTAATCGGAGAGCTGAGTTCCAATTCCAATTGGGTTCGTTATATTCACTTACCCGCAAATACCCTTGAGAAAGATATGAATCCATTTCTTCTTCCCTCAGGTATTAGTTAATTAGCAGGACTTATATCAATAAATCATTATTATCTCATAAGAATTCTTAGAATTTAAAAATATTTTCAGGCTTTAAATGACGTGAAACAGGTTGATAAACCGTAAAAAAACGAAACACTCAATCCATAGAATACTTAGGATCAAGGAAATGTCTTTTCGCTTCACAGACATGTCTTTTAGATTTAGCTTCACGTGTATATCTTTTAGCTTCACAAGCATGCATTTTAGATTTAGCTTCACAGGCATGTCTTTTAGCTTCGCAGGCATGTCTTTTAGATTTATTTCCATTCTCTGGAATGTAAATGTATAGAAAGGATCTCGACCACAAAAGGAGTGAGCAGTTTATATATTGACTTATATATCGAATTTATCCCCCATTTTATATCCACATTATAATTTCTTGTTTGCTTATCAAATACTATCCGTCCAGGGTATGACGATAAACTACATTCGCGTCCTGAGTAAAACAATAAACTACATCCGCGTACTGGCTATGAATATGAATTACATCCTCATCCCGGGTAAGACGATAAACTACATCCGCGTCCTGGTAAGACGATAAACTACATCCAACAGCAAGGCCTCTGATCAGAATTTGAGGAGCGTGAAACCACCTCTTAATTGATGGTGTTCCAGGTTCACCCTGGTCCGAGGTGATAGCACCTGTTAGGGTCTCAACTATGGACAAATAGTTGACCCCCAAACTGGTGTCAAAACACTATGAAAGTGTAAAAATAGTTTTTAATACCAGCAATACATTTTTGTAAAAGGTTATTATCAGCAATGGATTATGAAGAAAAAAAATATTATTTTTGGAAAGAAAATATTAGCAGCAATACATTATATTAGCAAAAAAAAATCTTGTCGGCATGAAAGAACCGATAATTCCAGTTCTTTTATTGTCCTCTCTCTGCTTAATAATAGTTTTTTCTAATAGTCTCTAACACTCAGTAACCCCTTGCATCCTAGTAGTTTTGTTGATCTTCAAAAATTTCAATGCAATGTCAATCGATATCTTCCGTCATCTTAATTCCTGTTGTTTTGTTGTTCTTTCTCCTTAATAATGCCTTTTCTTTTTCTCATATTCGCACACACTCAGGAACCACTTCCGTCTTAGTAACTTTATTGCCTTTCTTCGGGTTTACATGATACAGATACAGGGAGCGTAATAGCAACTTTAGATAGAGCAAGTTTTCAATATAAAACGATACTTTCCCCACAGTGTTATCGCCACACACACACACACACACACACACACACACACACACACACACACACACACACACACACATATATATAGAATAAACCACACACACACACACACACACACACATATATATATAGAAAAAAAACCACACACATACATTTATGTTTTTTTTGTTTAACAATTGAGGGGGATTGTGAAAAATAACGATGAACCACCCGGTGCGGTGCTAACTTGTTCCGTTGACACGTACTGATATCGCTATCGAAGAAGGTTCGTATATATGATACGCCACATATATCTTCAAGATTGCTTTGTTCATTTTTAGAAATTAATTTCAAACTTTAAAAAGTTTTTGGTGAGTGGTGAGGGACAATCTATCTATCTATCTATCTATCTATCTATCTATCTATCTATCTATATCTATCTATCTATATATATATATATATATATATATATATATATATATATATATATATATATATATATATATACAACACACACATATATTTACGTTTTTTATAATATATATTACACCACACACACTCATATATATATTTGCTTTTTTGTATATATATATATATATATATGTGTGTGTGTGTGTGTGTGTGTGTGTGTGTGTGTGTGTGTGTGTGTGTTCTACCAATTGCGGGGCAATGTGCCAAATGACAACCCGGTGCCGTACCGCGCTAACTTGGTCCCGTTGACGCGTACCGATATCGCTATCAGGGTTCAGATATATAATACGCCAAATATATCTTCAAGAAGGCTTTGTTCATTTTTAAACATCCATTTTAAACTTTAAAAATTCTAATAATAATAAAAAAAAAGAGTCGAGGCGGTCAAAAAATCTGATGATACGTTGCTCTTAGTAGGACGAGAAATAAGCAGACTCTGAAATTCCAGATTGAATCTATAGACTGTCAAGGATTACTCAGACCTCCCAAAGTTTACACAAAAAATATTGTGCTTTGTCGAACTTTTGCAATAAACATAATTTTCGTTGTAAATATGTAACATTTATATATGGATATCTTTGCTTAGGTGTTTATAAATTGTACAATGTTCAATTATTAACGTTAACAATGAACTATTTTAAATTACAAAATTGCACTTGGATTAAACGAATATTACAATATGATACATACGATTTATAATACATTCCTTCTTGTCGTCAATTTTGACGGTACAGGAACACTAGTTCTTTAATAGTTTATTTCGCTCCTAACAATAGATCCTAATATTCCATTTAATGAAATATTTGCTGTTTTCTTACATTAAAGTCCACATTATGTTAATTCCCTTATTCTGTTTAGAAATCTCTTGATATATTTCCTTATTCTGTTATTCTATCCTGACTCGTTTTAGACAGGATCAAATATTGTTTAATTATTTATTTCGTTCTTAGGAATCGATGTCAATATTCTATTTAATAAAATGCTTTTGGTTACCTTTCATGGCACATATAGTTTTCGTTTTAAATACATTTTTGTACTGAATTCTTCTGAATGGTTAGATATAAAGGAAAAACAGAATTTTAAACAGTTTTTTTCAACCTCTGTAAAGAAAGAGAGAGAACATTGACAGCTTATCTTTGACTAATTTTGTTTTTTGGAATTTATTTTATATCTTGGTTATTTTGATAAAGTGACAAGAATCATTTTACGATGCTTTTTTATCACTTCTGGAAAAATCTTCTGTTTTTTTTTTTCCTTTTTTTAAAAGATTTCTTCTGATTGCGTAAACCGCAAATCAGCGAAACCAAAATGGCTGGAATTTTTATTATTAACTTGATTTGGGAATATCACCATCTGTATTATATTTTTTTTATCAACGAAATTATTTTTATGTCTTTTCAATCATTATGTCTTGTCGTTCGCTAATATTCTTTTAGTTTCTAATTTGCTTTTAGTTCCGATTTAGAATTAAGAAATTATTTCAATGATAGAATTTTATTATTATTATTATTATTATTATTATTATTCTACATGAATTTAATTTTGCTACTAGATTGACATCTAGGCCCCACCAATTTACTGTTTAAATAGTTAAATGTAACGACCAGTTCTACTACAACAGTTTCTTTTCTCACACATCCCGCCTGTGGAACTCCCTTCCAATCTCTTGCTTCTCAGATAACTACAATCTTCAAAACATTAAATGAAAAGTAAGTCACCATCATTTATCTTCCTGACTCGCGTCCATCTTTTGGCCTTTCCTCAATCCTCCCTATACGCAGTCTTTTTTCCCACTTTCACTCTCTGTAACCGCTGCGAACTAGTGGCACGCCCGCCTTGTTTTTGGTGAAATGATTAATATATATATATATTATATATATATATATATATATATATATATATATATATATATGTGTGTGTGTGTGTGTGTGTGTGTGTGTGTGTGTGTGTGTATGTATGCATGTGTGTGTGTGTGTGTGCAATTTTAATTATCCAAGACGACTTATCTAATCACTTTTTGAGGCAAAATATTATTTTGTTTGATGAAAAACAAGTCATCTCTTTCTCTATCACACACACACACACACACACACACACACACACACACACACATATATATATATATATATATATATCCGGTTCACACTCCTCCCATGGCTTTTGCACAGGTGTTTATCTCTTTTTTCCTGTTTAGGAATAGGTTTCCGATTCCTTCTAAAGTCTGCTTCACATCTTAACTTCTAATTCTTGTCCTCTCCTTTCGCTAATATATCTCCACACAGTAACCCTCTACCTTGAGTGTCTCATGGGCCTCATATTTGGTGAACATTAGTAAAAACAAACAACTAGGGAGTGAGTTGAATATCTTGTCCATTTTGATTGGTTTTATTCTGACTTGAATTCTGGCCAGATTAAAATTTATGATTGGCATCAGTAATCAAAAAAATCATTTCGATCAGCAATCCGGTGCCAATTTCTACAGGACTATTTCAGATTTCCCAGGTCGATACACGGATCTACCACTAGCGTTTGCTGGCACTAGCTCCTTCATCAGGGGGCATTTTCACACACTGGTAAATGTTACCTGCTTCAAGCCATTGCCTAAACAGGCAGGGCCTACATGGCAGCGGGTGGATTCAGTTTTCCTTCTCCTAGATTGGTTACTATCCAATGCTATAGAATCCAGTTGTCCTACTGTTTTACCCATATCTGGGGTGGTAGTGAAGAGATGAATTCATGCCTTTCCACATGGAATGTAATAAATTTCTCAATCTGTAAACCATTTCTCAACCGTGCCTCCTCTCTCTGTATATATATATATATATATATATATATATGGGGGGGTATGACTCTTTTCGGATTTAGCTTACAGTCAAGTCACATTGGATGCATCTGTTTTCCTCTGGTTACTGAAGTCAAGCATAATTACACCTGGTCATTTTGAGTGACTGCTTTGGCGCACTGCTTGCTATAAGTTGACTCATGGTCTAGCTCTGTACTCAACAGAAATGGTCCATTTGAACTGTATACCTTAAAAAGGTGACAGAATAAAAGATCCTTGGTAGGGCTGAATAAACCACCTCCGGAAAAAACTGACGCCTTCCACTTGTTCATTTCCATGTGCAAAACACCGAAGGGCAGAATGCTGAGACAATTTCCATTAAGGATCTCTTGGCGATTGTAGGCATTTTTGAAGTTTTTAAACTCTCAAATGAAGATCATATACAAATGTAATTCCTTAAGCGTCAGTTCTAAGAGGTTTATTGACGTTAATCGAGTCGAATTAGTTAACGCAATGTGGCAAGGCAACTGTAAGTGAGTTGAAGAGAACAGAAGGAAGATGGATTGACAGCCCTGGTGATGATGGGACTGAAATGTTACCTAATGATGTTAGTGTGCTTAATGTAGTCAATTAAGAGACTCTATCTCCAGGAATCTTGGAAATAATGGAATCCTCGTATTGTTATTAATTTGCTGGACGCTGTCGATAATTGGGGGAACGTCCTTTCTACTGGTCGCTTTCCGTGAACTGCCCACGCATGCAAAGATTTTAATATGTGTAGCTATGGTTACAAATCCAGGCAGGACACTGACAATAGATAGAGAAGCCAGGCTGCAATTATTACTCTTTGGGCAGGTGAAGCGTTAGTTTTGACAGTAGGGCTGAAATATTTATCACCCATAAAAATTTGGAACTTATAGATAATTAGTAATGGTCGACCATAGCTCGTTAACCATTACTTCACACCAAAACGTGGTAGTTGTTATTTACTGGACTTAAACTAGTTTTAGCACAATGACACCAGTATGGACTCATAGTGAGGGTCGAACTCGCTATTCACTAGTAATCGTCAATCAGACTAGCTCGTTAACGATTACATCATGTCAACTCGGTCTTGGGAATTGAATAACCTCAGTTTAATTTTAGCACAAGGCCTCACGTATGGGGCACCCGGTGAGGATCAAACTCACTATTCATTAGTATTAGTTAATCAGACTCTAGTGTCGAGACTCTGAAAATAACATCGATAATAATTGATACATTTTTATATTTGTATTAATCTATATATATATATATATATATATATATATATATATATATATATATATATATATATATATATAAAAAATGTTTATGTCAACACTTGCCAGGCGACGTCTGTTTATAGCTATATGCAGACTGTCGGCCTAACGATTGCATATCAATGTTCACTTTTATATTTACACACGCTCTATCTCTGATATTGAGCACTTTATTCCATAAATATAGCACACCTTAAGACTATATTTCTTTTATATATATATATATATATATATATATATATATATATATATATATATACAGAGTGCCCAGTAAAAAAAAAAAAAAAAAAAACAGGCAAATTTATTGTTCGAGAAAATACACCAGGTGTAATTGGTCCATTTCAGTTCCCTCTAAAAGCCCAGATCTGAGGAATCTTCCTAACACACTTGCAAAAGCGTCGTCGTGACATCGTCATTATTGATTAATTGAAGTAGAATTTAAGTAGAGCTTGAAATGAAAATCCTTTTGACATTATCCGAAAAGTTAATGCCTCCTAGTTACTACGCTTATAACTATGTGTTGAACATTCAGGCAAACATTTCGAACATCTACGATGATTTTTCAGTTTGTGCACGAATAATGATAGCTAAATATATTTCTGAATTTACCGCTTTGTACTGGGTGCCCTGTACATATATATATATATATATATATATATATATATATATATATAATTTTTACTATACATATATATATATATATATATATATATATATATAGTAAAAAATTAATACACAATAAAATTACAAATCACTAACGAATGAAGTGACTTTTTGAAAGGAATATATATATATATATATATATATATATATATATATATATATATATATATGGAGAGAGAAAGAGAGATAGAGACATTAACAGAATGTTGACTTCTATGTTCACTTTTTATATATATATATATATATATATATATATATATATATATATATTAACAGAATGAGATAGATAGATAGATAGATAGATATAGATAGATAGATAGATAGATAGGCAGAGTTCTTGAATTAACAGCGTAATAGGTTACGCAGATAACTCATTTGAATTGCGACAATATTATACCTAATACTTTGGGTACATGATTTGATGTTTAGGAAGTTTGTAGAACAATTACGGCTGAGTGGTGAGTTCGATCCCCAACTGGGTGCCGCATACATTCGGCCTTGTGCCACATCTGAAGCAGGCTTAGTAAATCATTATTATAGATAATACATATCAGTTGGCTTTCCAAATCCACAAGGGTGAAACCTTTTCATTAGCTTCGTATTTTATTAATAAAATCCTACATAACCTCATTTACTTACACTCATATAACATCACACCGTAACCTTCTAGCTTGAGTGGCTATTGAGCCTTTTATGGGTAATTATTAGTATTAAAAAAAACAGTGTTGATGACTAGTCTTACCTGTACGGTTGCAGGAGGAGGTATCGTAGGCGTATGGGTGTTACGGTTTTATAGCAAAAAGTATTCTCTTTTGTTACTCTATGTTGGGTTTCATCGGTAAAGTTGCCAGCTAGATTTGGCATCACCATGTCTCCCTCGGCATCCTCTAATTTTAAAAGGTGCATTTAATTTGATGGATCGGTTGTTAATATTACGGTTATCAACGCGGTAAATAAAATCGGTGCCCTGGGGTCATAAGACGACCGAACCTCCTTTGTTCATTTTGCACTATTACTACTAGTAACTAAGGATTAAAAAGAATACATCTCATTGAGTGCGTGCTAGCCAGAAGGGAAAGTCTGAATTCAATTCCTCGTCAGTTTGAAGCTGAAACCCTCAAGACAGTCTAACGTTGCATCCAACAGCTTTCTGGTAACTTCTAATTTCAGGCAATGGCACCCTGTCTTTCTCTTGGACAACATAGAGACGGAAGAGGTACTGCACGAATAATTGCTGGCTTCTTCCTGCACAGGTTTGCGCCTTGTTGCAGATCACTGGTTTGTTGAGACTAACAAATGCCACAAACTTCGAGCAAAAGGAAAGTGAATGCTTTTTGTTAAAGAAATCATTTCTCTTCTGTCAGTAAATTGGAGCCCCCCACTCCCTTTGCTTAAACAGCTCACGTGAAGAAAGTTTTTTTGAAAGATAATCCTTACGACATGGCCGGCCCATCACTGCTTGGTCTTTTATATCTTAGCTTCAGTGCTTCGTTAAAAATGGACACCATGGCGGAGTAGTAATTGGAGAATTGTGGAATATAGAGATACGGTCTATTTGAGTGATACCTATTCCCCAGTGGCTAAAATGGGGACGGCCTTATTGTAATAAGTGTGTTTCAGGGATCAATATTCAAATTTTCCCGGAAGTTATTATGTCCAAGCCATTTAATGGCCGTAGGAAAGTTTTTTGATATAGGAAAAATAGGATAAAAAGAATAGTGCAATTATTTCGATGGGAATTGAATAATAAAACAAAATGCTTTGATTCTGGTGTTATTAAAAAGGTGACTGATTATCGAACTATATCAAAGAAGCCAATTGGTAACTAATATAAAAATAATGTCTTTATTGAAAAATATTTTTAAACGTCTCATGTTGATATAAGATGTACAATCAAAAATCCATTAAAACGACTTTTGTGTCGCACACACTTATTCTTTCTTTCTTTCTTTCTTTCTTTCTTTCTTTCTTTCTTTCTTTCTGCCAGTTGCTTATTCATTCTCTATTTCTTTGACTCGTTCGAGTTTTCTCTTTCTTTTTTTGTTCTTCGTTTTGTTGTTTTTTTCTTCCAAAAGCGCAGTTTTTTAAACATTTTATTTCTTTCTTTCTCTCTCTCTGTTTCTCTCACTATTTGCGGTTTGCTCTTTATTTCTTTCTTTGTTCTTTTCATTCTTTAAGACAAAGATTTTTCTCTTGTTTTTCTTTATTTCTCTCTCTTCCAGTTACTTATACCCTATCTCTATTTTCGTGTCTCTTTTGCGTTTGCGTTTCCTTTCTTTCTTTCTTTCTTTCTTTCTTTCTTTCTTTCTTTCTTTCTTCAAAATGCTCATTTTTCACGCGTTTTTTTTATTCCTCTCTCTCTCACGCTTGCTTGTATCTGTCACTGGTTATCTCATTCTCTCTCTCACTCTGTCTCTCCTCGGCGTTTGCTCTTTCTTTCTTTCTTTCTTTCTTTCTTCCAAACGCTTATTTCTCTCTCTTTTTTTAAAAAATTATTTCTCTCTCTTTCTCCCTCCTTCCGTATTTCTTTTTCTCTCAAAACTCCGCTCATTTTTCTTTGTTTCATTCTCCCAAATGCAGATTTTTTACTCGTTTTTATTTCTCTCTCTCTCTCTCTCTCTCTCTCTCTCTCACTTGCTAATTATCTCTCAATGTTTCTCCCATCCCCTCACACTGTGGTACTTACCCTTTCTTTCTTTCTTTCTTTCTTTCTTTCTTTCTTTCTTTCTTTCTTTCACTACCTCATCTTCTTATTTTCTCTAATTCACACACATGTCGCTCAATTCCTTTACCCATCTATATATATATATATATATATATATATATATATATATATATATATATAATTTTATGTATGTTATCATAACAAAAGCATGTTGAAATCGCTACACAATAGCTTTCGTGTTTCGGTAATACGTTGTAGCTCTTCAGGTATAAATTGCTCTACATTTTATTGAGCACTTTTTAAAAAGTAAATGCTACGAACAGCGGGATTTTACTTCATCTGTTGTTTCTCTCATTTGTAAATTTGCGTGTGATTAAATAGTTTAAATCCGACATATTGTTATTTTTAATATTTTTGTTTAAACGTTATTTTTGATTCAAGTAGAATCTCTGTTTTTTTTTTTTTTTTTTTTAATTTAGCAGGATTTTTTTTTTTATCCAAGTACATCTACCAGTTTGAATATTCGAGAAATATTGTCAGAAAAATATACGTCCTCCGACCTGCATCCTTTATTGGGAACCGGCATTACATCTGAAGTGCCTAACCGCTCGGCCAGGTAGGACTTACGGCCAAACAAAACCCGAATAGTGCTTTTGAACACACACTATCTGCCGTGTCTCGAAACTTCCATCTGCTCTATTACGAATCCTGACGTAAACGAAAACAATTTATTTTAGGAAAACGAATTAAATCCGACATATTGTTTCTTTTTTAATTAATTTTGTTTAAACGTTATCTTTGATGGATACTCATATTCGTGTAGAAGCCCTGTTTTTTTTTTTAATTAGACATAATTTTTCATCCAACTACATCTACCGGCCTGAAATATATATATATATATATATATATATATATATATATATATGACTGTATACCCCTTGTTACTGCTTGGGTACACCCTGTACTGCAAGAGACCATGCAATGGTCCTAGCATCTGACGGACAGATCACAAGGTCTACGTGGAGGCAGGTGAGAAGAAAAATAATTAGAGGGCGCGGTAGATAAATTGTCGCCATTTTATATTTTTATTTTCGCGCATGTGTGTTGTTTGTTTTATCGACTGCACAGTATATTAGAGTCAGTTGGGAAGCATCTGTGAGAGAAAGAGCTACATGACGCAATTCATTCAGCTGGCAAGAGGATCCTGCACTACGTCACAATCAGAAGAACCCAGTGATGGCTATCAGACAATTTTTGCGACCACATCAAGGCAAGTATTATGGCAGCATTTACAATCTCAAACAAAGAGATGGTACAGAAGAAATTCAAGAGATTACGATGTCGTCTGGAGGTCGTGGTTTAAGACTACGGTGATTTTATTGAATATATCTACTTTTTAGTATTCCAAGATATATTTTGTGTCATTTTGGTAAATATATTTGTTAAAAATGAAATATCAGTGTTATTTCCATTTCTGTTTAATTTATACGATAATTTATCCATCACACCTTGTATAAACAGTATGAATTACCTCTAGCGGCCTGAGCAGTCAAGAGACTTGATACTGTTATATAACAGATTAAATATTGCATAATAGCTCACCACTTTCTTTTCTGTCGAAGGAAATGTTTTTATAATCTTAATACTATGTATAGTTTCAGGGAGGCATCTTTCCATATTGATTTATGCCTTCAGATTTCTCCTTTGAAATACAGGAGAGAATTATAAGACATGCCACAGGGACTTACGGCCACGTCATATTGAAAAGCCGGTTCCCGTACGATCACCAAAGTTAAGTAACGTCGAGTCTGGTCAATACCTAGATGGGTGACCGCTTGTTAATACCAGGTGCTGTAAGCTTGGATGTGCGGGTGGTGTAATGGATAGTTGCTAGCAATTATTAATCTGAAAGCTGAGTTCCAGTTCTAGCTGTATTCACTTAAACGGAAATATCCTTAGAAAATGTATGAAGCCACTTCATCTCCCCCAACTATGGGTTAATTAGTAAGACTTACGTTATTAAAACAGTTATCTCCAAAAAATAAATAAATAAAATTGTTTGCTAAATATTTACATTTTTGTATTAAATTACCCATACAGCTTGGAATGTTGCTAAACAAAAAAAACAAAACAACAAAAAACAAACACACACAGACATGAATTAAAAAAAAATACTAAAAATAAAGGAAACATAACACAAAATCAAATAAAGCTAAAAATATTTTAATAAATTAAAATCAGGTGAATATTTCTCAGATAACGTTAGTAAATAGGAAATACAAAAATCAAAAAACACACAATAAAAACAAAAAAAAGGTAAGGTATTTTAGTACGACCAAAAATAATTTGAAGCGTCTATTAAAGTAAATAAATTTTACATTTGTTTTAATGTAAAACACGAGTTTCTAATTAAAACAGCATTTTTATATAAAATTAATAATTTTAAAAATATTACTTATATTTTAAAATGTTAACATTTTTGTAGCGTGTTTCCTTTTAACAAATAAAAATTAATTAAAAAATAATCGTTGAAACGAGTCGCCGAATTACTGAAGTCATTTTAACTCGATCATTAATTATTCTCTTTTTAAGCAACATCTATCTTGGTCAGAAGAGAGATGGGTGACTGCAGAGGTATACCAGGTGATATAAGATTGGAAATTCCAGTGGTTTTAAGAATAAAGGCGCGGAATTGCCAATCAAAGAGCTGAGTTCTAATTCCAGTCAGGTTCATTACAGTCACTTACGTGCCCTTCTCACCACCCCCCGCAGTTATAAGATAATTAGTAGAACTTGTATCAGTAAAAATTATTATTATCGCCAAAATTTCTTACAATCTAAAAATATTTTTTGGCTTTAAATAACCTGCAAAAAGTTGATAAACCGTCAAAAAACAAATTAATCAATTTAAAGCCTTAAGGATTTTATCCTATTTTTACTTGCTTATGAGATCTGATAATAAGTATCGGGACTGTTACTATGGTAACGGACGCAAAATATGTAGCGTGAAGTCGCTTGGCACAGATTGACATTGAAATCTGTCGCGCATGCGCATTTAAGTAATAATTTTCTCGCTGACAGCTTTTCACCAAACACAAAATTGACCAGTTCCGGCGACTGCCATATTACTCAAATCTCGCCCCTTGCGACTTTTTCCTCTTTTCAAAAATCAATTGCTACTTGATAGGAACACGATTTCAAGATGTCGAAGTTATAACGTTCTGGCTCACTTGCATTGTTTATAGCAATGCTTGGAAGGAAAGTGTGTAGAGTGCGGTCGTCTCACTACACCAGAGAGATTACAGCGATCAGAGAGAAAGTGAGTAGAGTGTGGTTCCATCTGTGACCATGGCAGAGAAAAGTGAACTGCGAGTTCGCATTAAATCTTTTCAAAATGCCTGGTGACTCCTTCACAAAGACCTACCTTAAGTTTCAGAAAGTGTCGGTTATACTTTTAGCCATTATCAAGAATGATTTTATTTTTTCAGTTTAATTGAGTCTGTGCTGGTGTGTTGTTATTTTTGAGGATAAGGTTAGCTGTCTTAAATTTTTGTAGTTGATAATTAATTTAATTTTTTTTATTCGGCTTATTTGGGTTAGTGTATTTCTTTATAATATTCCTAAGTGAAGATTAATCTTGTTTGTAGTTAATGTGCATTTGGTTTTTGTGAAATATATTTATGTAATTTTTGACTGCATGTTCACTATCGTTGTTATTTATTTTGGGGAGAAATAGTCTAATTTGGTGATCTATAACGTGGTTAGGGAAGCCATTGTTAGTGTGTTTTACATTATTGAGTACTTTAAGGAAGAGTAGTCGAGAGGATGAATTCTGGTGTACTCTTTTTAGAAAGTTTTTTATTACTGCTATTTTGTATCTGAGTGGGCATTCACTTTTAAAGTTAAGGTGGCAAGAGTTTTTGCGAGTAGGTTTTTTATATAATGAGGTGGTAAAAGTGTTGTTACTATATTCTACCAGAACATCTAAGAATGGGAGTTTGTTTTTTTAACTAAGTTCTAAGTTTTTTTTTTTACTAAGTTCTACGTTTTGACTATTGTTGTAGAATGGCTCTTCTTTTTACAACCCAATTTTCAATTTTTATTTTGAAATTAGGAACCATTTCTCGTTTTATATATATATACATACATATATATATATATATATATATATATATATATATATATATATATATATATATATATATATGTATGTATATATATATGTGTGTGTGTGTGGGTGCGTGCGTGCGTGTTTGTATGTGTGTGTGTGAGAATAAAGAGGATGGATTTTTCATTTATTAATCCATCAGATTTTTACTACATAGAGCGTGTATTTCTCTCGAATAAGATTTCTCGAATATTCATGCGCCAGTAGACGAAAATAAGTACAGAAATATAGTTTAATAAACGTAACGTCTGCTGAAATACGAGTATCCGCTAAAAATAACGTTTCAGTAATATATATATATATATATATATATATATATATATATCGGTCGAGTTTCGATCCTGGCTTGACGCATTCGGTTGTCTAGTCGCACTGATGAGCTGTGATATAGCGAAACAGGACTGTATACGAATGACGTTATATATATATATATATATATATATATATATATATATATTTATATATAATTTTTAAAGAAAAACAGACAACTTTAAGGATCCATGGTTATAATTTCTGATGATCCAGGTAAAAAAGAATCTCCCTGAGGAAATAAATTATAACCATGGAACGTTAAAGTTGTCTGGTTTTTCTTTAAATTAAATTATTCGCTCTGGTTTAACGTTGAGCTATCTGGATTCCATCCTCCTTGGAATTATCTATACATATTACCAAGATTTTCATTACTTAATATATATATATATATATATATATATATATATATATATATGAGAAACATTCCAGAGGTGTTGCGATATTTTTTAGGAGAAAACATTATAACGGTCGTAGATTATTGCAATTTTAGTCTATAATTACTATATATCTAATAAGCTGACATGCTGATATTTGTTATTCCAGATTGAAGAGGATATTTGTAAAAGCTCTTTAAACATACCCTACTAAACCCTACCTGTTACCACTGGCTAGTTTGAAGAACACAATCGGGACCTGAAGACTTTTCGAAAGCTCGCTTGCAGAGATGAACATTAAAAGTTTCCCTTACCTCCCTTACTGTTCATACCTTGACCCCTACGACTTTTGCTTCTTCCTCAAGCTGAAGGGTAACATCAGGGTAGACCTTCTGAATACACTTAGAAGTTGAAGGAGGCTGTAACAAGGGAAGCATTCAATTTAGATAATTTCCATGGAGCCTTGACCGAGTGGCTTCAGCGTTATATAAAGTGTTAAATTTGAGTGGAACATATACAAATCTACTTAGGAAAATCCAGAAAAATCAGTTGGAGATGCCAATGGAACGCTTAACACAATATACGGAGAACTGAAATGAACTTCTCTTAAACTCAAAGAAAAACGATTACAGTTTGAAACCGGCCACTGCCATCGAGCGGAGAGGAAAATCGTCACATCCTTACTCCTATGACATCCTTCTAGAAGTGTCTTCTCACGAAAATTGACTTTCCTAGACACCATAGCTCGGGAATCAGGGTTGGACATTGAGGATTTGGGGACAGCAATACAGGACCGAACAGTGTGGAAAGGCATTGTTAGTGGCGTTCCGATCAACCATAGGGAGGACGAAGCATGATGATGATAGCGAATGAATTGAAGTCAGGAGATCCGACTTTGAAGGCTATTAGTGTTTTGTGCTTCTTTGAATTTAATATCCTCCTGAAAAAACTCTTTTTCTTGGAATGCTCTTCATATATGTAGCCCTGAATTTTGTATTAGGTAAGCAGTTCGACGAAATTGTGCAATTTTAGCCAAAACTTGGCACAAACTGGTTGGAATCACCTGTACATCGCATCTCTATATATTACCTATAATTTAGTAGCAGTTTAGTCTTCCGTTCCTCGTCGAGATAAAGAACGCAAACGTTTCTAATAAAAGATTAACGAGTAACGATAATAACCTTAATTTGAACTGAAGACAATGTAAAAGCTTATGGTTTTTATCTAAACGCTTGTGTTTAAGAGAATTTTTTTTATATATTGTTGTTCACCAAATACAAGGCCCAAGAGCCACTCAAGGTAGAGAGTCACTGAATTAGTTTGTTGTAAAGGATTAAAGAGAGGAGAAAATATGTGCATATGAAGATATGTAAGTTAGATAACGGTCGATTCTATACTTGAAAAGGTTATAGCTGCATTGGTCAGGAGTCTGTTCCAAAAAGTGACAGTTCTGTCTGGGAAAGAACCTGGCTGAGTGGAACTTCCTCCTTACGAATGCAATACAAAAGGAACGATATATTTAACTTCTTTTCTCTTAATAATTCTGCTTAGTTAGACGAAGGTGAAATCCGCCATATTTCTCCCCATCGAACAACTCGTCGATTAAAAGAAATGGTCGAACCTCCCGTATGGGCAGCAATCAGATTGCATTGAGTAAAACCTCACGACAAGTTCGAACGTTCGTCTGTTTTTATTACATGGTTATTCGCGCATTATGATTGATATTGTGGATATATGAAATAACAGATCTTTATTGTCGCCTCGTTTTCACAATTTGACTTGAGTGAGATTGCAACGCAGTTCATTGATCTATTTGAAATCATCCTAAAAGTATCAGTTATTGCTTGCGTTTTTAATATAACTTTTACAATATAAAAGCACTTATAACGAATAGATATCTGGAAATCTAAAAGCCCGTATCTACGAACATAAAAGAGATTTACGTTTAGACGATCATTTAAACTCTTTCGTAATGCACAGGGACAACACTGGTTATTACTTTGA